ACAGTCACCAGCTTAGTTACTAAAGTCACATTACCTCTACAGATTTTGAGATTCACACTGGGGCCATGTCAAAATATTCCATTTTAAACCATAAACTAAAAATTTGTCCCAGTATTAGGTTCTGGAAAATTCCAGCTCAAATTGAGTGAAGTTATTTTCAGATTTTCGTCTGCCTTATTTGAACAATAACAACTGTGGTAAATAATAATTAAGCTTTTTGCTCTCGGCTTAAAACTTTTTGGAACCATTGTTTGACATCAAACAAATTGTATATTGAGCTTTTGAACATTGAAATACATTTAATATTTGAAATTACTATTTTGAGATAGAATTATGTATGTATACCAAAAATTTTATCAAAGCAAGAAGCTACTAGCGTTTTAGGTTATAATCGCAAACATGAGAAATTACTCCATACACGATTCATTCCCTTCAAGTTCTTTTTGTCAAAAAAAAGTATAATTTATGTCATTTTCCTAAGTCAAATGTATCATAACACCAAGCGGTTAAAACCTGAAAGGGTACTGACAAAGTTACTTCACATTATTTATCAGTATTCGTTGATAGAATCAACACTTTTAGGTAGTTACTGTAAATGAAAATTAAATGTATTTTTCGGAATTTAAATTCTTGATTGTTCACCAGTCAGAAACATGAAAATCGGATTACCTTAATAATTCATTAAATTAATTGCGACGAAAGCTCTTTCATACTGCGATACGCAATTTTCTGATACTCAAAAGCCCTGGCGATGCCGCTTGAAAGCTTAACCCTGCAAATAAGCGGAATGTTTTACATTTAAATGGACCTTTTTTAATCCAATAATGAAATTGTTGCGAGAACGGAACCTGCATAGTGGGGGGATATTTGAACGGATAATTAACGGTTACAATATGACTGGTAAATGTAGAATCATTTTCAACTGGTTAAGAAAAAATGGCAATTATATTTTCTATATTTTATAAAAAAAAACAACAGTAATAAAAAATAAAATAAATATTCTTGGACATTTTACACTACGCTTCTTGTCCCAAACTAAGCATAGCTTGTATATACTATGGGTTCAAGACAGCGGACATAAACATACTTAAATATTTTTATTGTAGTAAATACATAGGTACATAATATTATACATAGTAATTATTTTAAAATGTTCGTTCGTTTCAGTCAAATGACGTCCACTGCTGGACAAAGGCCTCCCCCAAGGTTTTCCACAATGAACGTTCGTGCACTTTCCGCATCCAGGCTCTTCCCGCGACATTTACTGGATCGTCGGTCCACCTAGTAAGAGGCCTGTCCACGCTATTTTAAAATGTTCGTTCGTTCGTTCGTTTCAGCCGAAAGACGTCCACTGCTGGACAAAGGCCTCTTTAAATAAAAATAATATATTTTTGAAGTTTTTTTATTTTTGAGCTACATCACAGAATCAAAATAAAATATACTTCTTATTCTTTAATACCTTGTTGTTTGGTCTAATGGTTTTACATGAACGAAGATTTCAAGCACTCTCCTGGGTGGTCTTTAAGTACTTCCTGATTTTCAATGCCAATAAAAGTCACCTTCAAACTTTGTCATAAACCACCCAGTTCTTAAACCCCAAATTGTCATAATCAAAATTCGGCTTTATTACATTTAAATAGATGTTATTAAATTCTCATAATATAGCGTGATCTGCTAATGGACTTGCCATAAGTTTGGCATACCGGATCGGTCTATTGAAATTAGACGAAACTGCTTAAGCTTCACAACTCAATTTGCTAATATACATTTTGATACCCAAGACCACGGCTTAGAAGCGAAAATTAATAAACGAGTTGGCTCAAGAACTTTTTAAAGTACACCGAAGTTTCCAAATTCAACACAATTAAATTAGACGGTATTAGCTGATAATTCACAAAGTAGAAAACACATTAAATTTTTGTAATTCCTTAATGTGGTATAACTTGGATTTGATTTGACTAATGGGAATAATAAAAAGTCGTATTAGTTCATACTACATACTGGTAAAATGTTTTTATAAACTGTATCTAAAATTATTCAAAATTAAGTTTACGAGTAAATCCAAGCCTGTGATGGGATCATTTTCAATACTTATTAAATCTTTTTATTGACTGTTGATTAGGCATGCTAAATAAAAACTTTGGTACCTACTTACAGACAAGTATAATACTGGCAGAGAATGCCACCTGGCATTAAGTCCGCCACTGTACTGTATGTGCAAAAAGTAACTTTAAACTCCAGTAAAAGCCTCTGAGCTTCATCGATCTACTTATTCTCAAACGCTAAAGGCGCGATTCCACGAACGCAAAGTGGGACTGCAGGAATGAATTGTCATGGATAGAAGAATGAAGACTTGCGTGCAGTCATCCGCATTTCGAAGCGTGTATCGACGCGTCTGCGCTTCTCCTACACAATAGTAAAGCCGTTTTTCATTGCCCTGCACCGCTCCTAAAGCGTTTTTTCTATTTTCTACACAATAAAGTCGTTTTTCATCACCCTTATCCGCTTCAATAAGGGCTACTTTACACTAAAGCGGAGACGAGGCTAGACGTGTGGAGAGAAATTGTATGTATTATGAGCAGCTTATTTTCACCAAAGCGGAGTGGAGCTCTGTTCAACCGTATCCAATGAAACTAAGTGTAGACGAGATGTGTAAATGACGGAATTCTATTGGTTACTAATAACACGTCTCGTCTCCTCTCGTCTCATCTCAAAACGGCCCTAAACACTTGCCTAAGAATCAGAATTCCAACAATCGAATAGTTCGATACTACTAATATTAATAATCTAATACAAATATAATCGATCGCTAGTTCGTATCGAATTAAACCGCCAGTTCAATAAAGTCTACATTTGATTGACATTCTTAGGAACAATCGAATGCACCGAAACCGCTAGTGCAAGTAATGGATTAACATTCATAATGCAATAACAAAATACCTAAGTCTTTTTCTTTGATATTCTTAGAACAATCGAATAAAGGTTATTCGAATGATTCGAATAATATCATTCCCAATCGCCCATCTTTAAAGTCACGATTGAAGCTACTTTTGAGTAATTACACTTTTCTCCGCTTGCCTCCGCTCCAATATAAACGCGCCCTAAGCCCACATCCCTTGGCGGGTAACAACGTTGTGTCGCAATTTATTTGGCTTTAACTACAAGAATGTGATTTTTCTTTGACGGCTTTCTTTTGTGGCTCTCCAGTGGATAAGCGGCGAAATGTGTTTATTGTTTGGAATAGGCGCCGCTATAACAATAAAGGTAGGCAGTGGGCGCGAATTCGTAGGTGCGTAGAGCGAACTCACTCAGTATGATTGCAATAGGAAAAGGATGGTTTCGTAACCGTTTTAGGTTTTTGACCTCAGATTTTTCACACCATACAAATAAAAATTATTTGTATAAACTTTAATATAAAAGTACATGATGTCTAGCCAGCGTTACGCATATAAAGTTGCATAAAAGATTTAATTCATAAATCGTACTCATATTGATACAGACATTTATTCAAAGAATCAGTAGGTAAGTTGATTTATAGCGCACCAATATTAGTTCTTTGTGGTTGAGGATTCCGGGTGAAGCTCACTTCCACCTTCGGCCTGATCATAACTTACCATCAGGTGAGATACAAGCCAAGAGTTTTCTCGTTGAAGATAAAAAAGTAAAAATCCAAGGTAAATGAATAGAGATTATAATCTAGGTAACTGTGACCTGTACTAGTCGTGGACAGTGCCCATTATGCAGCACTGGACACGGACGCGTGTCTAATCTTACTAAAGACATCAAAATGTGTAAATATTGTGTGATTTACTAACATAGTTTCTAAGACCTTTGTTAGTAATACTTTTATGGGCTATGCCTGAATTAAATACCTTTTATTTATTTATTTACTAATACTTTTATGCAGAAAACTTAACACTCTTGATATTATCGACATAAGCTTACCCATTATGTAATCCCCACATCACTAAAACATACATAAGTATTTATTTTGCTCAAAAACTTTGGGATGAAAAGCGAATAGCTGGAGGCGGTCCGTTTAACACGATGACGTAATTGTACAGCTGAAATACTCCATTGTTGTTGTTTAAACTTAAAACAGCTCATTTTACATCGCAGTGTTTATTTAAGTTTTGACGGAGGTTTTCTGTTAGTGAATTTAATATTTACTCAAAATTTTGTTGGTTATAATATGCTAGGTTACTTTCATTTCAGTGCCGTATAATTATAGTTTTTGACTCGCATGAAAGTGAGTATTATCTTTGCTAAAGCTACAGCATTTAAATCAATCATTTTTTAATTTATGCAAAAGGCACTTTTTCGCGTCTCATTAAGTAATTTGTTAAAATATAATTTTACGCACTGTAAAAGTTATCGCTGTTTTTCGGACACGAGTCTGATATGCCTGAAAGTGGCGTACGGTAACTAAACTAATTAAAACTTTTCATAAACTAAAAAGTCTACAAATTATTTGATATAATTATGAAATGTTAACCCTGCTTATATTTATTTTAACGTTTATTTGTTTTGGCAAAAAGTGGTTTCATACAGATTGTGGCGTACTAAATAGTTTCCCAACACTGAAATTTTAATATCGAAACACTATGTAGGTACTCAGCTATTCTAAAAGGCTAAACGACCCTCTGTATACCCTATTCAAAGACAAATAAATATTTCTATTCTATTCTAGTTCATATAAAACTTAAGAATTTTCTAGCCGAGGTTCTTAGAGGTTCTTAGTTCTTCCTGCCTAAATGGGCTTTAAAACTTAGGTATTTGAAATATCTATTGTGTTGCTACTTTGCAGTTAATTTATTTCAACGATTTTTTTTCCTTTTTTATTTAAGCTGAATATTTTTTTTTATACAGTATATTATGGATACTGTTTACAAAATCACCCTCTATTTCGGTAAGTACCTCAGCGTTAGACCACTTTTACGCCACCCTTTTTACCGAAACCTCCAAAACACTAATGAAAGTGAAAGTAAAAACAGACTCACCATATTTCGGGCAAACGATGCAAAAAACAACCGCCAGGAAAACGCCGATGACTTCAGCCCCGAATCCTTTGGTGCCCATTTTTCGCTTTTTTCAACCCACACTGGCTTTTACCGACATCTTCTCTATTTCACTTTGTTCAATCACCATGAATTCGCCATTATTATCGTCCTTTGAGCGGAGAGGCATGGGACAGACATCGTCCCGATGGTGAAACGCGATGAAATGGCTGCTGAAGTCACATCTGAAACAATTGAAAACAAATTATAATATAAGTCTTAATTTTAGCAATTAATTTTCATTCAAATTATTTATTGGTAGACCGTTTTTCGAGCATTTAAATTTCGNAACTTTCGCAAATACAACTTGGGCCTGGGTAACAGGATATTAAGTTACCTAATAAGTACGTTATAAAGATTGACAAATTAAAATGTTTAGTTCATTCTTCCCATTTGGACTGAAATCGCTAGCTGACTTCGTAAACTTTTAGTCAGAACTATGTAGACAGATAAAAGAAATATTTACCTACTACTTATTTTTTTGAATTATTTGTGATCTTTTTAGTTTTGCTGCTTAAATTAAAAATTGCTGTAGATCACATGGATGTTTTATACCTAATTAAATGAGTCTATACACCTTAGCTTAACATACTTGATTGGGAAATGTAATCTTTGAACATTAAAAAATCGCTAGTCTTTTTCATTTAAAAATCCGCGTACGATTTATATTTTTTTAGGATAACCGTCGCATTTGTTTCTGCATAAATAACGTTAAGTCACGCTATTGTCACAGTAAACAAATAAATCCTCGCTTAGAAATCCAGGAGGACAGAACAAACGTTTTTTCACACAATACCACGGCATAATTATTTGTTGAACACGTTACTGGAAACGCTCTACAAAGGCGGACGTTCATTGTAGAGAGGCGTCCGACGCAGAATCGTATTGTGCTCACTCGCTTTATGCTGAGTGTCACTTCTGTTAACCACAACCTTTGTGTTCCTTGTATCAGTGGTATGTAATGAAATCGGTATTTATAACGTAAGTGTATGGATGCGCTGAATTTACCAACTTTAGGCCTTGTCTACGAGGGCGAATTCGCCGCGAATGTCTTTGCGCGAACACGAGCGTATGTATGACGCGATTTACGCGCGAATTTTCAACTCGCGCGTGTCTTTTGGACGCAATGTATTGGCTGCTAGTATCTCGCCAACGCGCGTATGATTCTACGCGCGTAGAATTTGCAGCGAATTCGCCCTCCTGGACAAGGTTTTATAAAGCTTCAGTCAAATCAACGTGTTATTTTGATATTTCTGATTTCAAAATGGGGGAATAATTTCACGGCGAACGTCTGGAACATCAAGCCTTGATTCTTAGAAGAAAATAACAACGTGCATAATGCACTATGGAGCTGCTCTAACAGATAAAGCCCTACTCTGTACAATATTTTTTTAGAAAGATAGATACTGCTACTAAAAACCATAACTATTATTAGGTTTAAAAATTAAATAAAAAAACAAAAGACATTTCAAAAATTTAGATTCGTTTCGTTTCACCCAGTTACATAATTTTTTTGTACTCTCTGGTGATATTATTGTGCTTTGTGCGATAATATAATTTTTAACAAAGAAGTAGACGTGACAGTCTAAGCAATAAGAAGGAAGCTTCTGATTACTCAAAGAGATGGAAGAATTCTATCATCTTTCTGTGTAATCTTTTTTTCAATTTGTCTTAATATTAATGCAGAGGAAATCAGATTTGTTCCGACCCGAGACTCAGACAAACAATATCTGAATCTGATACCAGAAGAAAGATACATATTTATGTACCCTGTATGTATATGTCACTACCATTCGGAATAAAACGAAATATTATGTGTGTAACAAAATGGATATACTTCTGAGCTTGTATACCAGCAGACATGATGATTTTAAATGTGATATAACTCTTCAGACTGAGTTGCACCACCTTACTTTAACCGTAACTATAACCATAGCCGGTGTTTTTGTATGAAGTTTGACACTTTTGACGTTTGTTAAAGTTAAAGTCAGATGGTGCAAGCCAGCCTGAAAACTGTTTTGCCGTTAAAATTATTTAGATTACTTCTCATCTTGATTACGCTTTAAAACTCATTGACATGAGCAAGCCACAAACAAAACGAAACCGGTGTAGATTACCTAATAAATTTTCCAATCTCAGTAACATTAGGCAAAAAATAACCCTTCCCTAAACACTTCTCAGTATTCGCTTTGCATCCCCCTCAATAAATCCTGGACTACCGACATCCGTCAATACAACCCATGCATTCTTCACGACATATAAACAGACCATAAAAGTAAGTTTTGTATTGACCATAAAAGGCTTTTTATGGTATCCCGGCGACGCGTCCACAAACGAAAAGCATGATTCTAGAGTAGGTTAAACTACTTAAAACAAAGTACAGAAAAGGATGCTTTAAGCATAATATGATAAGGCTGAAATTCATTATGAACGTGTGCGTGGTAATTCAGGGCCGTAGTATGAAGAAAAACAGCGGCACGTACTTACAGCTCTCATTCCTTGCAAGTTTCATTATTTTAGCATAATCATGCTGCGTCAAGATAACAAGTGAACTAAAATCCATAAAAAATGTGAACAACGCCTGAGTCCTTCGATAATTAAATATTCTTAAAACCGCGATAAGACGAAGCCTCTGGCAGCAAAACATGTCCAAAAAACTACATCACAGATTGAAAGAAAAAATAATGTATTAAAAATTACAACAAGAGACTACAATGGAAATCTTAATTATAAGAGTTAATAATGTTTAGATTTGCTTAAAAAATATCGCTTCACTTGAAATTCCTTTAAACTTTACTCGGGAATTTGTGCCCGCTATCTCACAAAACCTTATTGAGCCAATTTGTCCGGTACGTGGGTCGTGGGCCAGGAATAGCCATCACAGGAATGGGAATACACGTGACCTGATGAAATAGGTAGATCCCGAAGGATCCCTGATAAAATCTCTCTGTTACATGCCGACTGCCAACATAAAGCAGCGTGTGGCTTAGGTTACTGACGAGGCTGCGAATAGGAACAGACAGGAAACAAATTACAACCTACAGTTACATCGGGATTTGAGCAATTTTTCAAAACCAATAAAATAAATAGTTACCCTCTCAGTAGTCTCTTATTTTCCAATCAATTCTTTTTACTTTTTTCACTAATAAAAATTACATGCTCGTTAAACTTAATTATGTGGTTCGTTTCAGCCAAATGACGTCCACTGCTGGACAAAGGCCTCCTCCAAGGTTTTCCACAATGCACGGTCCTGCGCTGCCCGCGATCTTTACCAGATCGTCGGTCCACCTAGTAGGTGGCCAGCCCGTGGTCGCCACTCGAGAACTTTTCTGGCTTTAGCACGTAGAGACGATTTAGGTAGTAAGGAAATGTATTTTGCAACTTTTTATGAGTTAATGTTGAAAATACAGAAATCCTCGCACTAACAACAATTACGATGTTAAAAATATGATTGCAAAGCTGTCTCACTATTTATAATTCTTGTTAATACAACTAAATAGTTTTCACAGACTCACAAAGTCATAATTATCCCTCCTCTGTACCTATCTATACTAATATTATAAATGCGAAAGTAACTCTGTCTGTCTGTCTGTCTCTCTCTCTTTCACGCCTAAACCACTGAACCGATTTTGATGAAATTTGGCATAGAGATAGATTGAGTCCCGAGAAAGGACATAGGATAGTTTTTATCCCGGTTTTTGAAACAGGGACGCGCGTGATAAAGTTTTTCTGTGACAGATAAAATTCCACGCGGGCGGAAAGCTAGTAATACAATAAAACTGAGATCTTCAAACAAAAGAAAAACTCCAACCTCTCAAACGTTTATATTAAACGAAACATGCACGTATATAACTACGGCAAAGGATCGCATGTCTTCCGTGCCGAGTTTAGACATACAGGAATTGAAAGCCTGTGTCTGACATACTATATCAGAAAACGTCGTAATCGGATCGAACTGCTGATTGCTTCCGCGAACTGGAAACGAGAGGGGTTGTATTTCTAACAATTTTAACAGCAATTTAAGTAGAAGCGGTTATATTGAATTGAAAGCGGATGTTTACGTAATTTGAGACGTAATGTATTGACATATGAAGCCAATAACTTAACAATTTATTAACATCGTTTCAGCCACAGGACGTCTACTGCTGAACATAGGCCTCCAATGATTTCCATATCTCCTGGTTTGTGGCGACCAGCATCCAGTGCCTAATTCCCGCCACCTTTATGAGGTCGTCGGTCCACCTTTTAGGTGGACGTTTCCCAGTACGTGCCCTCTTTTCTAGAACCTTGCTGCCACACAATAATAAGCTTGCTGCATATTAATAAGCTTAACCCCTAGCATCTAAGACTAGGTTCCACCATCTTGTTTTAACTCAACTTACGTCAAAAGTCTGTAAAACTCCATACTAAAATCACCAGTTATCGTTGTAGTTACTTTTAAGTAAGGCAACTCAGCCCAAGCATAAAATCAAGGCTTTGTTTTCTTATCATTGTTTAACTAATCTATCACATAATTTTATGGCAAAGCTGACAAAAGCTATGTAAGTGGTCAAAGAAAACACGATATAGGAAATACAGTGTGAGTCACGTTAAAGTGTACATATGAAAATAGATGAAACTAGACCTATTTTTATCGACAAAAAAGAGGTCAAAAATTTTTTGAGATTTTTTTTAATTTTTTATAGATTTTTTTTTCTTCCAATTACTTATTGTAAAGAAAACGTAATAACTTTTAAACTAAGCGGTACATCCTGATAAAATAAAAACAGTAATAATGCTAAATAACAGGCAATACTAAAAAAATACATAAAATACACAAAAAAGCCCAACAAATAATAAAAAATGATACTTTTTGAAAAAAATCTGCTTTAAAATTCGTGTTTTTTTGGTTATTTGATAAATTTCTCAAAAAAATTTTTTGACCTCTTTTTTGTCGATAAAAATAGGTCTAGTTTCATCTATTTTCATATGTACACTTTAACGTGACTCACACTGTATAAGTCCTAATTACCAACTTTCACATTTATGTTAGCCGACCCACATCCCTCGAGAAAATATGTGTTTTCCGGGAAAGAAAAGCAAAAGCAATGCGTAAAGGTCATATGATGTCACAAATAGCATCATCATAGTACCGGAGGTCCCATTCCTACTCGGAAACCAAAACCTCAGAGGGTCTAAAGGGAGC